TATGCAGGGAATAATCTCAATCTTTTGGTATCAGTTGAGACCTGAGTTGTGACCTAGTATGTTGTCTATTCTGATGAAAGTTCCATGTGCACTCAAGAAGAATGTGTATTCTATTGTTTAGGGTGAAAAGTTCTGTATATATCTGTGAGGTCCATCTGGTTCAGTATGTCATTCAACACTCTTGTTTCTTTGTTGATTTTTCTGCTTAGATGATCTGTATATTGCTGAGAGTAGAGTGTTAAGATCCACTGCAATTAATGTATTATTATCAATATGTCTCTTTATTTTGATTAACAGTTGGCTTATGTAATTGCCTGCTCCCATGTTGGGGGCATAGATATTTACAATTGTTAGATCTTCTTGTTGGATAGACCCTTTAAGAATGATGTAGTGTCAGGGCGCCTGGGTGGCTCAGTGGGTTAAAGCCTCTACCTTTGGCTCAGGTCATGATCCTGGGGTCCTGAGATTGAGCCCCGCATCAGGCTCTCTGCTCAGCGGGGAGCCTGCTTCCCCCTCTCTCTGTCTCTGCCTGCCTCTCTGCCTGCTTGTGATCTCTGTCAAATAAATAAATAAAATCTTTTAAAAAAATGATGTAGTGTCTTTCTGTATCTCTGACTACAGTCTTTAGCTTAAAATCTAATTTGTCTGAAATGAGAATTGCTACCCCAGCATTCTTTTGATGTCCAGTGGCATGAAAGATGGTTCTCCATCCCTTCACTTTCAGTCTGGATGTATCTTTAGGTTCAAAATGAATCTCTTGTAGACAGCATATGCATGGGTCCTTTTCTTTATCCAATCTGCAACCCTGTGCCATTTTATGGGAGCACTTAGGCCATTCATGTTGAGCGATTATTGAAAGATATGTCTTTATTGTTGTCATGTTGCCTGTGAGGTCCCTGTTTCTATAGATTGTCTCTGTAAATTTCTGTTCTATATTACTCTTGGGGGTCTTTCTTCTCTTATAGAACCCCCCCGCCCTTAATATTTCTTGTAGGGCTGGCTTAGTGGTCACATATTCTTTAAGTTTTTGCCAGTCTTGGAAGCTCTTTATCTCTCCATCCATTCTAAATGACAGCCTTGCCAGATAAAATATTCTTGGCTGCATGTTCTTTTCATTAGTGCTCTGAATATGTCTTGCCAGTCCTTTCTGGCTTATCAGGTTTCTGTGGATGGTCTGACGTTATTCTGATGTTCCTCCTCCTGTATGTAAGGAATCTCTTACCCCTAGCTACCCTTAGGATGTTTTATCTGGTTTTAAGATACGCAAGTTTCACTATCACATGCTGGGGGTGGGGGTGGGGCGTGCATCGGTCTGCCCTCCTTGATCTTGGGGGGTGTTCTCTCTGCCTCTAGGACACAAACACTTGTCTCATTCCCCAGATCAGGGAAATTCTCAGCTAGGATTTTCTCAGCTATATCTTCTAGTCCTCTCTCTCCACCCCCTCAGGGATCCCAATAATTCTGACATTGGAATGTTTCATGGCATCATTTATTTCTCTAATTCTGTTTTCATGGATTCTAAGCTATTTGTTCTAGGCCTCCTGATCCTTCTTTTCTATCAGTTTGTCTTATAGATCATTAATTCATTCTTCTGCCTCATTTACCCTAGCTGTTAGAGTATCTAGATTAGATTGGATCTCATTGATAGCATTTTTAAGTTCTGCCAGATCAGCTCTCACTTCTGCCCTTAGAGAATCTATGTTTCCATTAATGGTTTTCTCCAGCCTAGCTATTGTCTACATAACTGTTACCCTGAAGTCTATTTCTGACATCTTGCTTATGTCCAAATCCATTAGTTCTGTGGCAGAGGTCACAGTCTCTGAATTTTTTCCTCTCTTGGGGGTTCCTCCTCCTAGTCATTCTGGTGAGATGTGGTTGAGGGAATGTACAGAGTCCAGATTATTGACTACAATCCAAACAAGATGCACCTGTTGGGACCTTAGAGTTATTGGCCTCTTGTTCTTTCAGCTTATCTTCTGCGGGGAGGGGCTTGCTGTGCTGTTACTCAGGCAACCCTGTTTGAGCAGAATTGCCTTGCCCCCTGTGGGGGGGTGGGATGGGCTCAGTGAAAACCAGTTTGGGGGGGGCTTTTGTTCTTTGGCGGCTTTCCTTGGTGGGTGTCTACGTCCCTTCCAACAGAGCAGAAATGACAGTATTCAAACCTCTCAGAACAGAGAGATTGCAGTCTGTTCTCCAGAAAGCCCTCCAGGTCGCATTGACTCTGTTTTTATCTTTGCTGCTAAAAACCACAGCATCCTGGGTTGTTCACCCCACAGGAGCACTCCCAGCCCTAGAAGAGCCAGATGCTTAACTGCCTGATCCACCCAGGTGCCCCAAACAACTCTTCTGAGATCATGCCCTTGATTTACAAACCAACCAATCCAAATCCCCAAGTGTTTCCTTTATCAAACTCTCAAACTAAGCCAATAGTCCTCTTGCCCAAATCACCCCAGGGCCAGGTACCAGACAACTAGGGACCACCTCTATAACTCAGCCTGCCAAAATTATTAAAACTATTCAATCCCAAACTTTCTTAGTGTACTTACCAATGTCACCCATTCATGGGGAAAACTTCAGTAAAGGCTCTGTGCCACACTCTACCCTCTCCCACCTTCTGCCTCCCATGAGAACTGGGTACTTTCCCATGTGGCTCTGCAGGCATGCTATGCCTCCTGTTTTTAGAGATCTTTGCATATAAACTTTTTCCTTCATGCCAGTCATTACCATGTCTGCATATCCTACCGTATTTGATTAGAACAAATCCTGGGCACATTTTAACACAAGGATCCCAAAACATTCCATACACGGCATTTAATTGATAGGTATCTTATGTCTTTTAATTTGCAACATTGTTTTTATCTTAACATATATTCATTAAAAGACCATTTATTCTGTGAAATTTTGTATATTCTGTGTTTGGTTGTTCCTTCCTCGTGTCATTAATTTATTCCTTTATTCCCCAAGTTTCCTATAAACTGATAATTAGATTTAGAGACTAATTTATACATCTGGGTCAACATTTGGGGGCAAGAGCACTTAACAAATGAAGCTACATTTAGCCATTGCATAACATCAAGATGCACACAGCCTGGCAGATATAATTGAAATGTTGATATAGATTCGTGTGTTCTGTCATTCTGCTCCATTAAAAGGTTACTGTCAATCTTTTTCACCTAATGATCTTTGCATCCATCAATATCACCACCAAGATCCATTATTTCATAAAAAGTGATTTTTCAAATTGTCATTCCTTTGAACTTTATTAGCTAGATTTCTCATAATAGCTTTTCTTCAACTTTTGGTTGTCTTAAAATATAGGTAATAAAGGAAAGACAAAATAAATGCTCCACTTTCCCTCTTTATTTATCAATAAGTGCCCTAAAATGCTTCCTACCTGATCAGTGCATTTGATCAGGAAAAAAGGAAACTATCAAAGCCTATAGTGGTCATGACAAAAGGACACAGCAGTCAATTTGGGGGGAATCCCATTGGCCAAAAATAGGCCAATCTGAGCATAAAAAGGCTACAATATATTTTAAATAATCAACATGGGAGTTATAATACAAGCTATTTTTAATTTCCAAATATTTCTTTTTATATGACTGTTGATTTTAAATTAAATTTAGACTGAGGCCAGAGAGTGTAGATTATAGAATATCTGCTTTCTTTTTTTTTTTAAGATTTTATTTATTCATGAGAGACAGAGAGAGAGAGGCAGAGGGAGAAACAGGCTCTCCACAGAGTAGGGAGCCTGATGTAGGACTCGATCACAGGTCCCTGGGATCATGATGGGAGCTGAAGGCAGACACTTAACTGACTGAGCCACATAGGTGCCCCAGAATATGTTTGTTTTTTTTAAGATTGATTGATTTGACAGAGAGAAGGAGAGCGAGCGAGCGAGCGAGAGTGAGCACAAGCAGAGGGAGTGGCAGGCAGAGGGAGAGGGAGAAAAGAAGTCCCAGAAGTCTGGGATCATGACCTGAACCAAAGGCTGACCCTCAACCGAGTCACCCAAGCACCCCAGAATATTTCCTTTTTAATGGACACATTGAAAAAGAATGTCTATATTAAAGAGTAAGTTATCTGAGGTTCGGTAAGGGTGAATGTTAGTGGAAGGCATTTCTTTCTTTGTTGCACCCATAGTCTTTCATTTGAATTTTCAAAGAAGTAATATTAATGATAATAATAAAGCAAAATTTAGTGGTTTAAAACAACCATTTTATTATATCTCATCATCTTATGGGTCAGGAATTTGGGCAGGGGCTCAGCTGGGAGATTCATCTGCTTTATATGCTATCAACTGAAGTCAGTCTGGCATTCAGCTGCTGGCTGGTCTGGAGGATCCAACACTATTTTACTCAAATGTCTGGTGTCTTGGTAGGCATGTATGGAGGACTGGGCTAAGAAGGGTGCTCTTCCTTCCTATGTAGTCTTAGGGCTTCTTCTCCATGTGGTCTCTTCAGCAGAGCAGCCAGACCTTTTAACATAATTCAGGGCCTCAGCTTAAGAGAGCATCCCAAGAGATGAAGTGAAGTCTACCAGTAAAGCCTGGGTCCAGAAACTGGCAGAGCAGTACTTCTGCTAGTCAAAGCAGTCAGTCTGCCCAGCCTCAAGGGAAAGGGATGTAGATTCCAAGCTCTTGACAGTAAGGGAGAAATGTCAAAGAATTTACAGCAATCTTTATTCTGCCAGAGTATTACCATTTTACAAATGAAAAAATTATAGCACAGAGCTGTTAAGCATCTTATCAACATAATACAAATGGGAAAGTGACGGGACAGAGATGATGTGTCTCCCACATTTGTTACATTGATAGGATTAGTTTTTAGGAAAAATGTGAAGTTTATCAGGTTTAAGTGATGGTGTAATACATTAAATTAACATATCCTTTTAATGATATAAAACCTCTCGTGCCAAGTCAGGTGCCTGTATGACGGAAGCAAAAAGGATTATTTACTACATTCAGAGTGTTCTACAAGACAGGATTGAAAAAGTATTTTATATTTTTACATTATGAATTTTCAGATGATGAGTAAGGTGTGAATGTTGTCTAAAGGCCTTCTTACATTCCTTACATTCATAGGGTTTCTCACCAGAATGAATCCTCAGATGCTGAATAAGGGATGAATTAAGTCTAAAAGCCTTCCTACATTCCTTACATTCAAAAGGTTTTTCACCAGTATGAATACTCTGATGTAGAGTAAGTTTTTGGCGTAATCTAAAGGCCTTCCCACATTCCTTACATTTATAGGGTTTCTCACCAATATGAATACTCTGATGTTGTGTAAGTTGTGAGAGTAATCTAAAAGCCTTCCCACATTCCTTGCAGTCATACGGTTTAACACCAATATGGATACTTTGGTGCGAAATAAGTTGTGAGTAACGACTAAAGGCCTTCCAACATTCCTTACACTCATAAGGCTTCTCACCAGTGTGAATTCTGTGATGAAGAATAAGATGATAACCACGACTAAAGGTCTTCCCACATTCCTTACATTCATAGGGTTTCTCACCAGTATGAATTCTCTGGTGGAGTGTTAGTTGTTGTCTCACTCTAAAGGCCTTCCCACATTCCTTACATTCATAGGGTTTCTCACCAGTATGAAGCTTGTGATGTACTCTAAGGCCAGAGCCACACAAAAAGGCCTTCCCACATTCTTTACATTCATAGAGTTTGTCAGCAATATTAAGTTTCTGATGTCGAGTAAGGTGTGCATACTGTCTAAAGGCCTTTCCACATTCTGTACATACATAGGGTTTCTCACCAGTATGAATCCTCTGATGGAGAGTAAGTTGTCCACGCACTCTGAAGGCCTTCCCACATTCTTTACATTCATAGGGCTTATCACCAATGTGAATTTTCTGATGTACTCTGAGGTCTGGGCCACATATGAAAGATTCTCCACATTCCTTACATTCATACAGCTTTTCACCAGAATGAAGTCTCTGATGTCGAGTAAGATGTGCAGTTTGTCTAAAGGTCATTCCACATTCCTTGCATTCATAGGGTTTTTCACCAGTATGAATTCTGTGATGGAAAGTAAGTTGTTGGCGTACTCTAAAGGTTTTCCCACATTCTTTACATTCATAGGGTTTCTCTACAAAATGAATTCTCTGTTGTGGAGTTAGAGATGTGTGTTTTTGATAAGAGGACACTTTTTGAGATACAGTTTTAATTTGACTTAAATATCCCTCCTGTCCTTCAAATTTTCTTTTGGACTCCCAATCACTTTTTAAAATTAGGCCCCTAAGGCCATGGTTTTTTATTCTTTCCATTATCTTCCACTGGGGTGAGTTTATTTCATAAATGTCATTTTCCGAAGAGAATTTCTTGGTCTCATCCCTGGTCTCTAAATCTGAAAGAAAGTAAGAGAGCAAACACAGTTTCCTTTTTTTTTTTTAAAGAAGTAAAATTTCTACAGTGGAAATAAAAAACATCTAAAGTAATACTCAATTAAATTCTAAAAATCAATTATACAATTTGAAAAAAAAAAAAAAAGCCTAAGGTAACACCAGGAATAATGAAAGTTCATGTTAAGAAAGTGAGAATGGTGAAGAGTAAACATTTTAAGGCAGTGGGTCTCAAATTGAGATGTAGAGTAGAATCATAGAGAACTTGTTATAAATACTGAGGTTTATTTTTTAAAGATGTATTTATTTGAGAGTGCACATGTGCATGTGTGCGTGTGCACACACACGCTGGAGCAGGGGGAGAGGGAGAGAGAATCCCAAGCAGACTCCCCTCTAAGCATAGAGCTTGACCTGCGGCTCAATTCCATGACCCTGAGAACACGACCTTAGCTGAAACCAAGAGCTGGACGCTCAACTGACTGAGCCACCCAGGTGCCCCTAAATACTGTGGTTTAGATACCTCCTAAACCACCTGGATCAGATTCTACAGTCATGGCCAGTACTGTATTTATTCTTCATGCAATTCTGATGGAGATGAAAGGTTAAAAATTCACACTTAACTTTTTTCAATAATTTCTCTTTATTCTTAAGACTAAAATAAACCTTGCTGTGGTTAAAAGGCCTCTGGTTACCTATAATGCATCTTCTCATTCTGCTCTATCTTCCACAAATCTTCTGCTTGGGTTCTTTGCACTGTTGGCTACATCTCATCTTGAGGTCTTAGGTTAAATAAAAGTCACTTCCTTTAAGGCTGACTCTACTGTCAGGATCTAAACCTATGTTCTTATATAGGTATTACATATCAGCATATGTCTGCATTGAAATTATATATTTATAAATGTTTCTGATTGTTGCTCTCCTTTCCCTATCCCTAGATCTCTTCAATGACAAAAACAATCTCTACTTTACTCTTCATTAAAGAATACATGCAGGGGAGCCTGGGTGGCTCAGTTGATTATAAGCATCTGCCTTTGGACTAGGTCATGGTCTCAGGGTCCTAGGATCAAGCTCTACATCGGGCTCCCTGCTCAGTGAGGAGTCTGCTTCTCCTTCTTCCTCTGCCCCTCCCACTGGTTGTGCTCTCTCTCTCTCTCTCATATAAATAAATAAAATCTTTTTTAAAAAAATAAGTAATACATGCCTAGCACAAAATGAGTGCCTCCATCAGAAAGGATGAATACCCAACTTTTGTAGCAACATGGACGGGACTGGAAGACATTATGCTGAGTGAAATAAGTCAAGCAGAAAGAGTCAATTATCATATAGTTTCACTTATTTGTGGAGCATAACAAATAGCATGGAGGACAAGGGGAGTTAAGAGAGGAGAAGGGAGTTGGGGGAAATTGGAAGGGGAGGTGAACCATGAGAGACTATGGACTCTGAAAAACAATCTGAGGGGTTTGAAGCGTTGGGGGTGGGAGGTCGGGGGAACCAGGTGGTGGGTATTAGGGTACGGATTGCATGGAGCACTGGGTGTGGTGCAAAAACAATGAATACTGTTATGCTGAAAATAAATTTAAAAAAATATATTAAAAAAATTAAAAAAATAATACATGCCTAGCACAAAATGAGTTTCACTCACTGAATTCCCATTGTTATATACTTATTCTGAATATATTTCTGTCTCTAATCTCTCACATATTACAACAATGATTAAATAATTCCAGTTATTCATCCAAGCTCGTCGAGCTAAATATATAAATGGAAAATGGTGGTTATACACTCTTATTCTCATACATCCTTTCATTGCTTTAATCCCTTCTCTATGTTCATATACCTATGAGGTATATGAAGGGAAAAGCAGACTCCCCGCTGAGCAGGGAGCCAGATGCGGGGCTTGATCCCAGGACCCCAAGACCACGACCCAAGCTGAAGGCAGAGGCTTAATGGATTAAGCCACCCAGGTGACCCTATTTAGTTATTTTAGAGACACCACCCCCACTCTCCCACCCCCAGCCCCACTGAACAGGGAGTACAATACAATGCCAGGCTTGATCTCAAGACCCTGAAACAGACCTGAGCCTTCTTTTTACTTCTCAAACATGCAAAGCTAACTTCCTCCTTAGGTCTTTTCTGTTGGTTCAGAAGGCTCTTGCCCTAGAGAATCACATGGCTTGAACCTCCATATCTCCCCTCAAAAAACCTTTCCCTCATTTGTCTATTTTTCTGTATGCATGGTATACTTCAATGAAAGTTACTCAAAGGAAGAAAGAACCAAAGGAAGGAAAGAAAATGAAAGAAAAAAAATAATTTTGTTTAAGATGTCTAACTTTGAGTCAACAGTTGTCATTTTGGCTAAATACTTCCTAATTAAACTGATATTATCTTATTCATTTGGAACCTCTGCATTTCATTGTTTTTTTTCAGTATTAACAGTGGTAAATGCCATTTAATTACCTAAATGTGAAAAAGAAAATAAGTTACGATTGGAACAAAAAGTGTGTTTCTCCTTCCTGTGGTAGAAAGTGAGTCAGAGGATATAACATTACAGACAGTGTGGGCACTGAAATGGCCCTGCAACAAAAGAACTCTTAACCTAAAATGAGTCTCCTCAGCCAGACCTGAATGTATAGAGAGCAAAATACAAAACATACGTCTCTCTATAGAGAATTTTGAGGAATTTTTTTTTTTTTTTTTTTTAAGAAGGTTTATGCCTAGCGTGGAGCCCAATATGGGGCTTGAACTCATGACCCTGAGATTAAGACCTGAACTGAGATCAAGAGTCAGACACTTAACTGGCTGAGCTACCCAGGCGCCTCTAGGATCTTTTCTTAGGAAGACTTTCAAAGAGAGATGAAAACAGCAAAGAGGTAGCAGCTAAACCAAAGGATCATTCTCTCCATACCTTATTACACTCATGTTACTTCCTAATATGAAGGTAGATATATATACATACACATGGAAAAAAGCAAAGAATGATATTCTGTGATCTAAGGATCTGTCTTCTAGAGTAATTCATATGAAACTCTGATTGCTGATAAAACATATATAAATTACAATGTCAAGCATATTTTTCTCTATAGTCTTTTCTTTCCCCAAAAAAGGTTTTTTAGACCATACCTAAAATAGCCTTTCAGCCCACACCGTTTTCTCTTCCCTTACTCTGCTTACTTTACTTCATAGTACTCTATTACCTGAAATTATGGTTTCTATTTATTTACAGTTACTATGTGTCTCTTATTACAAGGTAAATTCCACGGAGACAAATACTTTATTGGTTTTATTTACCGGTATATTGATAGTGCCTAGCACACTGCCCAGCTCAGAGGTAGGTAGATAAGTCAGTCAGTCAGTCAATTTATCTGCTATTAAAAATGCAAAAGAAGAGCACCTGGGTGGCTCAGTGGGTTAAAGCGTCTGACTTCAGCTCAGGTCATGATCCCAGGGTCCTGGGATTGAGCGCCACATCGGGCTCTCTGCTCAGCAAGAAGCCTGCTTCCCCTCCTCTCTCTGCCTGCCTCTCTGCCTACTTGTGATCTTTCTCTGTCAAATAAATAAATAAAATCTTTTTAAAAAGTGCAAAAGAAAGCAGCTGAATCAAAATATATATAGAATGATTATCAATAGGAAACAAAGAGAGCACCTCTCCACCCATGCCCCTTTCAAAGGGGAGGAAAATTTGAAACAACAACAAGAGTGGTAAATGAGATAAAGAAATAGTTCTATTAGTATCCCTAAGATCTTAATTTGCTCTTCAAGCCTTGGAACTTTATTTTTTAAAATTTTTAAAAAAGTTTATTTTTAAGGATGCCTGCATGGCTCAGTCAGTTAAGTGTCTGCCTTTGGCTCAGGTCATGATCCTAGAGTCCTAGGATCGATCCCCACTTCCCTGGGGTCCCTGCTCAGTGGGGAGTCTATTTTTCCTCTGCCCCTCAACCTGCCTGTGTTGTCTCTTGCTCTCTCAAATAAATAAAATCTTAAAAAAAAAAAAAAGAAAAGAAAACGATTTTATTTTTAAATAATCTCTATATCCAGTGTGGGGCTTGAACTTACAAACTCAAGATCAAGATCTGCACACATCAGGTGAGCCAGCCAGGTGCCTCAGGCCTTGGACCTTGAAAGAGGACTTTTTAAACATCAGTAGAGTGTGCCTCTTCCTAACTAGTTGGGTGGTTTCTTCTGTGATGGCTTCCTCCTACTCAATTGGCTCTCACTCACCTGGATATCGCCTCCTTCCTTTCCTCACAACTTTCCAGGGCTCCTTTCCTTGCTCCAATAAGGAAATCACATCTGGCTTAGAAATGAAGCATCCTGGTTAGAAGAAAAGAGATGTAAGGTGATATGAAAATAAAAAATCATTCAAAATTACTTTTAGTCTTAGTTTAAGTTTTTAAGTGACTATAGGTCAAATGGTAATTGATAAAGCCTTTAGAACAAAGAATGGTAAGATGGTTAAAAAATATTCACATTAAGGTTACATAATAAATAGATTAATTTATATTCATACAAGTAATCCTTGAGAGGCAACAGTGGTTGAGAGCACAGTCTGCCTGAGTTCAGATCCTGTCTCTGCCACATCCCAATTTTAAGACAAGTAATAGCACCTATCATACACAATTGTTGTGACAGTTATATTAGTATATATCCATATCTAAACATTGCCTAGAATATGTACTCAGTGCTAAATATACATTTGACCCTTGAACTCTGCAAGACTGAACTGCCTGGATCCAAATAAATGTGGATTTTTTTTGATACAGTATAATACTGTAGAGCTATCTTCTTTATGATTTTTTTTTAAGATTTTATTTATTTATTTGACACAGAGAGAGAGAGAGAGATCACAAGTAAGCAGAGAGGCAGGCAGAGGGGGGCGGGGAAGTAGGCTCCCTGCTGAGCAGAGAGCCTGATGTGGGGCTCGATCCCAGGACCCTGAGATCATGACCTGAGCTGAAAGCAGACGCTTTAACCCACTGAGCCACCCAGGCACCCTCTTTATGATTTTCTTAATATTTTCTCTTCTCTAGCTTATTTTATAAGAATACAGTAGAATACATTTAACAAACAAAATATGTGTTAACTATTTATGTTATCAGTAAAACTTCTGATCAACTGTAAGCTATTAGTAGTTAAATTTTTGGGGAGTCAAAAGTTACATGCTGGAGCACCTGGGTGGCTCAGATGGTTAAGTGTCTGCCTTTGGCTCAGGTCATGATCTCAAGGTCTTGCAACTGAGCCTAGCGTCCGGCTCCCTGCTCAGCGAAGAGTCTGCTTCTCCCTCTCCCTCTGCCTCTCCCACTGCTTGTGCTCTCTCTCTCTTTCTCTCTCTCAAATGAATAAATTAAATCTTAAAAAAAAACAAACTTACATTTAACTTTTTGACTATGTAGAGGGTTGTTGTCCCTAACCCCTATGTTGTTCAAGGGTTGGATGTATTTTATTAGCTATTATTTATTACCATTGTTGTTTTGCTGGGAGGAAAACAAAAAGCTTCTGGAGGCATTGATTCTTATTTCTTAGGATATTCACACAATGTTAAGTGCAAAGTTCTTAGATTTTGAACTTTCAATCATAAAGTAGGTAAAAGTGAGGAAGTTTATTAACAAAAGAAATGAGTTTTCTTGAATTGTAAATAAATCTTGTTGGTCCAACATATCACTGCAAATATTTTGTGTTCTTTTGATAGATTAAAAATCGAGATACAGGGGTGCCTGGGTGGCTCAGAAGGTTGTGCCTCTGCCTTCAGCTCAGGTCATGGTCTCAGGGTCCTGGGATCAAGCCCTGCATGGGGCTCTCTGCTCAGCAGGGAGCCTGCTTCCCCCCAATCCGCCCGCCTCTCTGCCTACTTGTGATCTCTTTGTGTCAAATAAACAAATAAAATCTTAAAAACAAACAGACAATGAGATACAGGGTCTAGTATTTTCCTTATATATATACCAACAAATAAAATACCCATAGCAATTCTGAGTTCACACACCAAGTAAAACCTGATTTGACACAAGTAAGGCCATATTCAGCCCCTTTTCATCATTGAGGAAGGCCTGAAGGCCACTTAAGGATGAGGAAGATGAATTTGCTTAAATGAGGTATTCACTTAAAGAAAGCTCAAAACATTCACTGAGAACAGGGAGCATTCAGATAGCTTCTTGAAAGATATTCCTGAAATTGCCAAAGAGAAAAGCAGATACTACAACGAACAGGTCTAAATTACTAGAAGCAGAGAACCTTACCCAATGAGACCAAGTTGCTGTAATTCTCCAACATAACATCTCTGTACAAGTCTCTTTGTGCCAAGTCCAGGTATTCCCACTCCTCCTGAGAGAAGACTATGGACACATCATTGAACATCACTGATCCCTGCAATGACAAACCATATAATACATTTGAAATTAAAGAAAATTTGTTTTTAAGATGGAAGAGATACTGCAGGAAATGGACCATATGGCAAACAAAAAGGCTTAGGCTAGAAGCCTTTAACGTAGTGAGTTAGGAAATGAGTGTGCATGAAGCAGCATGCCTATGTGCTCTTGAAGAATCCTGTTGCTACAGGTGCAGCCTCTTGAGTACTCTGGCGTATCTTGATCATCCAAACATGTCTGGGAAAGAAAAAAATCAGTTTTCCAATTAAATAAAATATTGTAGATAAGCCTCTGCCTGTTACATGTCTCCCTCATAAACTCTCAAAAATATGAGTTCTTCCACTCTTTCCCCTTAAAGAACAGATCTTTTTGGTAAGTTTCCTTACAATATTTCTTAGAAAGGAATCTGAATACAGTTAAAGAATTTCTTCCAAGTTCATCATTGAATCAGATCATGTTGTAAGCATTTTCCCATTTATACAGATTCTTTAATGAAATTTAAAGAAACTGTATAATAGTCTATGTGAGGCATATGGGAGACTTAATCATTCTTCCATTTTGGTCTATACAAAATATTTAAGGTACTCCTCAGTTCTGAAGGTCCACAACTACTTATGTAACTGCTCACTCTTCCTACTTGTTATTATTTTCCATCCCTCACTTTATGCATTCCTTGTTCCTGACTTAGAGATATGGACATAGATTCTGGATACTGGTGATCCAGAATCACAAAGTTATCATTCTAGACCAGCATATCCTGTTCAACTACAAATGGAACCTTGTTCCTAGTGTGTAACTCTTAGGGATTCCCAGAGAAGATCCTTGGTCTCTCTGCATGCAAGACCCAACAACATCTCTGCCCAGTCCTGAAAGTCTTCAAAACATGAGATTTGACCATATATTGAGGTTGAGGCCAACCAACAGCAAATCTTATCTTACATGCTTGGAAAACTCAAATCCAGAAACCTCCAGTTTCCCTATGAGTAGTCAAATGGACTCATTCTCTCTCATTAACTCACAAGAGATGGTCAAACATTTCCCACGGGTGATTTAATTTCTGCCCCACTATAGCTCTTAGCAGAAGACCGAGCACATATAGGAGATGCTGAATGATTTTTTTTTTTTTTCAAAGAATACATGAATAATGACTGGGGAAAAGGGGACTCATAAGATAGTTGTGCTAAGTAGCCTCATCCCTCACTGGACTTAGAGGACTGGGAGAAGATTCCTAGACTCTGATAGGTAGGAAATTTCAGGATAAAAAAATGTTCATAGGACATTAACATGAAGTATTTTCAGAAGGAGAAAGAAACAGTAACTTACATGGGCCATGGTTTAGAAATTCAAGCACTGGTCAGTCCTCCTTGGGGTTTACTTGTCTGGAGAAGCAGAGTTCACAGAGGCCAGAGCTAGGGGGAGGAAAAGGAGGCTGTGAGATCAGATAGGCCTCAGAACTCCCAAAATGGCTGGAGTCCATACGTTCTTTCCCCTCCCTTGACCTTCCCAACACGTGCGCGCACGCACGTGCACACACACACACACACACACACACACTTGAGGGAGTCTGGACAAATCACATTCCCTCCTCAGAAATTCCAGGGCTAGGGGAGCCTGGCTGGCTCAGTCAGTATAGTGTGAGAATCTTGATCTCTGGGTTTTAAGTTTGATCCCGACATTGAGTGCACAGATTATTTAAAAAAAAAAAAAAAAAGTCTTAGGGAAAAAAAAAAAAAGAAAGAAATTCCAGGGCTGACAGCCTCATAGGCCTGCTTGGATTCATCAGATACAAAGAGACAAATTGATTAGAACCAACCCTGGCAGTCATTAACCACTGTCAAACTGCTGCACTGGCTGCCCTGCTGGACTGCCAGCCTGCAGCCAGGATAATAACTTCCAGAATCTTCTGGGCTCATCACACTTTTCAGTCAGAACCAACCACACTGCTTTCCTGTATGCCTTATTTGCTATTCTCTTTCTTACAACCTAGGCTGAAAAGGTATGGGTACAGGTAGACAACACATATCTATTTATCAAAGACTTTCATAGGATGGATATTTTATACACATTAAGTGGATCCTCAGGATTGCTGTGATGTATAATAGTATAATAATTACCTATGTGATGGACCAGAACATTTACATTAAAGAAGTAAAACCACTTGCAGAAATTCAGTTAAGTAGCAAAGGTAAATTTGGAATCCTTATTTTTCTAACCAAAGTCAGCTCTCAATCAACTCTCTTGTCTTTGAAACCTAGAATCTCTTGTTCCATGAGCATGCATGACTCATTAAAAAAGCAAAAATAGGGCGCCTGGGTGGCTCAGTGGGTTAAAGCCTCTGCCTTTGGCTCAGGTCATGATCTTAGGGTCCTGGGATCGAGTCCTGCATCGGGCTCTCTGCTCAGCAGGGAACCTGCTTCCTCCTCTCTCTCTGCCTGCCTCTCTGCCTACTTGTGATCTATCTCTGTCAAATAAATAAAATCTTAAAAAATTTAAAAAAAAGCAGAAATAACACATGAAACCCCCAAAGACAATTTTTTAAAAGATTTTATGTATTTGTCAGAGAGAGAAAGAGAGAGAGAGCACAAGCGGGGTGGGGGGGGCAGCAGGCAGAGGGAAAAGCAGGCTTCTCCCCCGCAAAGACATTAAATCTCACTTTAAGAGTACTGATGCCCATATTAGCAAGTTTGTAAGGAAATGAATATTCTAACCTGTAGATTGTGTAAATTTAAAAGTACGTCCAAACTTTTGTATGCACAAAGTATTTTGTTGGACATTTAAAAGTATGTCCAAACCAAGCATTTAAACCATGCACATCTTCTGACTCAGTAATTCTACTGTGGGGATTAATTCTACTCTGTATATGTGCACAAGATATAAGAGTGTGCTGACAGACATTAATCATAATGGAAAAAAGCTGGAAAGAACCTAAATATCCTGCAGTAGGAAACAGATTAAATAAATTATAAAGCACCCACAGAGTGAAAAAGCTTGTCACTTAAAAAATGATAATACAGGTCTTTAATTGGAAAGATGGAAATATGTCTATCACATATTGCTGAGTGAAGAATGTAAGTAGTAACAGTTGTGAGTACTGTGATCCTGTTATAGTAGGGCAAAAAGACCTGTGTGTGTGTGTGTGTGTACACATATATATTTGCATATCTATATATTTGTGCATAATAACCACTAAATGCTAAGCTTTTAAAAATATGTAAGGACATACAAAATATTCAAGATGTGTAGTCTTCAGAAAAATAAAATGAACATTGTGAATACATTTGTAAAGTATACATATAAATCAACATAAAGAGGCACTAAGAGGCATCAACAGAAAAATATCTGCAAAGATTGTTCATTTCCCCACTGTGATCTTAATTTTCTTCTTTTTGCTTGTATTTACTTCATATTTTTCTATGGCAATATATACTCTTGAAATACATTTTTAAAATTTTGTAAGTAGGAAGCTTTTCTTAAAATAGGTGAAAGAGACTCACTTTTAAAGCCGTCATCTCTTGAAGGAAAAAAACTGCTATATTTTTTCCTCCTAGCTCCCAATATCTGATTCAACTTTATGATTTGTAAATTTGTTCATTTATGTTGGAGTTTTGCCTAGAAAAGAATGGTTAAACATCCCCAACTAATGCCTTGTTTCACTGCTGTTTTCTCACTTAAATTCGTGGCTGATACATTTGTCTTGATTCTGACCAGTCATTTTAGCCCTCCATGATGCCCTCCAAAGAGCGCTGAATCTTCTTGTCCTGTTGGTCTCATTTTGCATCAACATCATGAGAATAGAAACCATAAGGCATGACAGTTGTTACATAAAATCCTTTTACCTACACAGAAATCCTCTGGATTTGGTTATTTTTTGGCACAACCTGATAATATTTGCTATAATCAGATGATGTCTCTTCATAGGAACTCCTAAGCTATGCTATCTGTCTTCTTCAGGGTCGACACTTAGTCTTATTCCTCTAGAGGTTTATCTACCTTAATTGATAATTAGCAACTTAAGAATCACAACCATATCATTTTAGTCACTCTATATTCCCCAAGTATTAGCATAGGATCAGACATATTATGAGTACTTTATAAAATGTCTGATAATTTCAACCTAGAAATTCCATTTTTAGGAATTTATCCTTAGAAACATTTTAGAAAAGTACAAAAAGAGATACATGCAAGGAAGTTCATCAAAGAATATTTTATAACCAAAAGCAGAGTACCTAACAGTAAACCAGCTAAAAAAACTAGGTTCCACAATATGATAGCATATTACACAATTATTGACAATGATGGTACTAGTTCATACTAATGCATATAGGAAAACATCCATGATAAATTGCCAAGTACAACAGGTAGACTAAGAAGAATATCCACAATGTTGGGAGGTGACTGACTCTCATATGTGAAGAACGCAGGCTTTGTTGTCAGGATCCAGGATATCTAAGGGTTTGACATTTATCAACTAGGAGACTTCAGACCTGTTAGTTTTCAGTGCCACTGTTTCCTCATAGATAAACTGGAGAATAACAGTATCTACTTGTTATTAAAGTTAAGTAATATAATGCATATAAAGCACTTAAAAGACCTTATTATCAGCAATAAAATAAAATGAGACCATTATATCCCCCATATTCCTTGTATTTAAAAAAGTATCTTCAATTTTAAAAAAACTTTAATTCTTTGATAAATTATCTTTAATAATTTTTTAATACTAGGATGCCCTTTCTCTTGCTCTTACAGTAAACTTTTTCTTATTAAAGATTTTATTTATTGGACAGAGAGAGAGAGAACGAAAGAGAGAATACAAGCAGGGGGGAGTGGGAGAGAGAGAAGCAGGCCTCCTGCTGACATGGGGCCTGATCCCAGCACACTGGGATCATGACCTGAGCCAAAGGCAGACGCCTAATGAATGAGCCACCCAGGCGCCCCAACAGAAAACTTTTTTAGAAAAATATTTTATTTACTTATTTATTTTAGAAACAGGGAGGGTGAGAGCAGGGGGAGGAGCAAAGGGGGAGGGAGGGAGGGAGTAGAGCAAAGAATCTCAAGCAGACTCTGTGCTGAGCCCCAATGTGGGGCTCAATCTCACCACACTGAGATCATGACGAGAGCCAAAACCAAGAGCCAGAGCTTAACCAACTGAGCCACACAGGAACCCCTCCTATAGTTAACTTTTTTGAGATTTTAAGGACTGCTCTTTCTTGCAACATCACTAAATTTTAGAACTAAGGTTGAGAATGTAATTCTTCTTAATAATATTAGCAAAAGGGGCGCCTGGGTGGCTCAGTGGGTTAAGCCGCTGCCTTCGGCTCAGGTCATGATCCCAGGGTCCTGGGATCGAGCCCCGCATTGGGCTCTCTGCACAGCGGGGAGCCTGCTTCCCTTCCTCTCTCTGCCTGCCTCTCTGCCTACTTGTGATCTCTGCCTGTCAAATAAATAAATAAAATCTTTAAAAAATAATAATAATAATATTAGCAAAAAAGATTCGTAAAAAATCAAGAAGTACAGCAAAGCCCCTTTTGCTCTCCATCCCTAGCAGCTCCAAAGAGATACCATTTGGCATCATAAGACTCATTAAATTTGATTTGATAAGGAATCATTCTGAACACTTTAAAAACATTTGATCAAGTTTTTCTGCATAACATGTCTGAATATTTATTGTTACTACCACTTTCTCCCCCCTGTTATTATAAATCTCTACTTAGGAGCAACCTTACATCACTTTTAAAAAAAAAGGTTTCTGATTCTGAAAAGATACCTAGTAAATATTTTCATAATCCTAAAAGGTGTAAAGTCTTCAAAGGTTTTTCAAAGTAGAGGGCAATCTTGTACTCCCCTTTACTCTGTACAGACAGCAATATAATAAATCTTCTAACTGTACTGGATTTCTTTTCAAAGTGTTAGAGTCTTTATCTCCTTAAATAATCATTTTTTGTGATTCTGTCTTACAGAACAAATGTAAAAAGTGCACAGAAAAAATATTTGGAAAAACAAACATCAGAATAGTTCTTCTCCAAAACAATGACCTGCCTTCACTTTCTTCTCTAACTGAACACAATCAAGGTAAGCAGCATTCTTAAACTTAGTAAGAGTATACCATAGCAGATACAAAAGTACAGGCTTTATCTCTGCATAACTGCATAACTCCACATTAGATATAATTCTTACAAAATATCTTACAAATCCTTAGTATACTAAAAGGGTTTCATACAAAATTAAATTTTCCTGAGTCATCTTGCTCAAAAATATGACTTTGCTTAAAATTTATCATTTATATTTTCCTTCTCAAGATTCACATGTTTAATGACATAAAACTGCATCACATGGATGGAGTGTGATTTATTGAATAATTTCCCATCTTTAGTGGCACCTGAGTGGCTCAGTTATTAAGCATGGGCCTTCAGCTCAGGTCCTGATCCCAGGCAAGCCCCACATTGGGCTCCCTCTGGGGGTGGGGGAACCTGCTTCTCCCTCTCCCATTCCCCCCCTGCTTGTGTTCCCTGTCACTGCATCTCTGTCAAATTAAAAAAAAAAAAAAAAAAAAAACTTTAAAAATTTTTTAAAAATTTCCCCATTTTTACAGACTAATTTTGTTATCTGAAAGAACATTCTCAGCTATTACAGTCTTTGATACTAGGCCAGTGGGTCTAAATCTTTTTAGGATCATGTTTGATAATCTCATTAAATTATGGATTTCCTCCCGAGAAAAATGGCATATTAACAAATACCTACAACAATTTAAATACAATTTCAAGGGGTTTCTGGTTCTCTGAAAGCCCCAAATGGATTTAAATTACCTCTGGTTAACAATTTCTGTTCTAGGGGCACCTGGGTTTGTCGTCGATTAAGCAACTGCCTTCAGCTCAGGTCATGAACCCAGGGTCCTGGCATCCAGTCCCACTTGGGTTCCCTGCTCAGTGGGGAGCCTGCTTCTCCTTCTGTTTCTGCCTGCTGCTCCCCTTGCTTGTACTCTCTATCAAATAAATAAATAAATAAATAAAATCTTAAAAAAGAAAAAGAATTTTAGACCATTTGAGTTTTTTTTTTTTAAACTAGGAAATGCCCATCACAATTAACTTGGTATTTTCATTTTTCCTGATATTGGAGGTGGATAGGGAATTGCCCCAGATTACACAACAAATAGCTAATGTTTATTAAATACTTATCAAGTATCAGGAGCTGTTCAAAGATTTTTTTTGAAAGATTTTTATTTATTTATTTGACACAGAGAGAGCACACAGATAGGGAGAGCAGCAGGCAGAGGAAGAGGGAGAAACGGGCTCCCTGCTGGGCAGGTAGCCCAACCAGGGACTCGACCTCAGGACCCCCAGAATCATGACTCCAGCCAAAGGCAGGAGCCTCACAAACTGAGCTACCCAGGCGCACTGTTCTAGGGGTTTTACACATTTAAAAAAAAAGCTCATGGAAGTAATGGGAAGTATCTGTCAAACGAATATGTGCATATAAGCACTAGGTAGGGAACCTAAGTATTAAGTGTACAGGACATTTAAGAAGGAAGCAAATGTCCCTATGTCCTAAAAATTAAAAATGCATTTCACATTATAAGAGGAAATACCCACTCCCTTGACCTCGACTTTTTAAAAAATGGGCAATAGCAATTCATTCCTCCTTCTCAGAGCCCTTTCCGTGGAGTCTGACAAGACTGAGGAAGAAGGGAAGCTATGGATAACAGGCCTTTCTTGGAGCCCAGCCCAGCCTGGCTAAATTAGGGCATGCCCAGACCCCATCTGTCCCCACCAACCACCCACACATAAACTGAGTAAGAGGGAGATTATTACTGACCCTTCCTAGTATTAGAGAAAGGTCAGGATCACGGATGTGGGGGACGGGAATGGGACCTCACAGCAGTTTCCTAGAAGAAAACTCCGTCGTTCTGAAACCTACAGTTGGGAGTTCTGAGAGGCGTGTGTGCGCGCCCGACTGCGTGCGCGCGCGCCCGAGGATGCGGTGCACTGGGGTTACTCCCAGGAGCCAGGCTGGGAGGCACATTCAGTTCTAACGTTCTTTCCCAAGATGGGATCTGAGGCTTTTTGCTAGGAGTCTTCTCTCGGGCGCTCAGATATCTGACTGAGGAAGTGCGGAGGGGTGGGGGTCTTCTCCGCGGGCGGGCTCGTGCGGCGACAGAGCAGAATATTCAGGGGTGACGCTAAGGTCGGAGTCACACAGCCCAGGCTCTGCACCCAGTTCAGTCACACAAACGGTATCAGCCACGAGTCCCGACCTCACAACCGCACATAGTCCTGATGTCACACCCGGGCCCCGTCACGCCCACAATCACCCAGATGCACAACTACACCCCCGCCGTTCTCACGAAAGCTCGGGCCTGAGATGAGCGGCTCGCAAAGCTCTGCGGTGCTGCCGCGCTTCCCTTCCCTCTTCTCATCTCCGGGCCGCAGCGCCTTTCCTACAGAGGTTTGGAACCAATGCTGTGAACCAGGACTGCTCACCTGGGGCGTCGCGCCTGCCTCACGGTGATGCTCGGTGTAAGCGAGAACAGGACGGAACCGGCAGGTCCACACACAGCCCCCCCGCGGCTTAAGCGGCCGCGCGCGGAGGCTGCTGGGAGCTCGCGTTGTAGGCACTGAGTGCGCCGGCGCGGCTGGCCGCTGGGAGTCTAGCATCTACCCCGCCCGTAGCTGAATAAGGCGGAGGTCTGGGCGGGCTTCAGTCGGGGCGGAGTTCCCAGCTCTTTGTCTCGAGGATCCCGGCAGGTTCAAGAGCGGGGCAGGGTCGAAACCGCGGGCGCACTAAAGGGGGATGCGAATTAACGTGACTCTTCCTAGGACCTACTCGGACGGCGCTGTGCGTCTGTCTTTGGAGTGGTTTGGGGTGCGATTTTTTTTCACTGGGTGTGGCGGGTTTGTGTTTGAGCGGTGCTACTTCGCGGACCGGATTGTGGTTTGTGTAGATTTTGACTGGAATTGTGTGTCAGGACCCAGAATGTTGTGGTAGCCTGTGAGATAATGGGTTTGACAGTGTCTGTGAACGTGTCTGTAATTGACGGAACATTTAGGTCGCGCGGTTTTGGTAGATTTTTTTCCCCCTGGTCCTTCCCTACTGACCGTGGATGGGAGTCACTCAGTGTGCGCTGATTGTGTGGCGACGGTGTGTGCTTCTGGTGTGTTCCGCGGGACTGTGACGCGGTAGGATGATTGGATGGGGCCAGAATAATCCCTCTCCTCAACCCTGAAATAGAGAAATGAATGTTGTTTTCCCCCCGCCCCCCCCCCCCGCCTGCCTCTCTGCCTACTTGTGATCTGTCAAATAAATAAATAAAATCTTTAAAAAACAAACAAACAAAAAAGAGCAACATTATTAGTATGGATACATCTTATCATGAAGGCTAGCCACTGGTGAGGTAATAACAATTTATCAGGCAACACTGAATTTTCTTTGAAGTCAGCCTCTCTCTGATTTCTTCCAATGCTTCGTATTTGCCTTCCCTGCTAGAGACCAACTCTTTTGCTTCTTTACACAGCCTTGAAACTCACAGTGCCGCTTGCACTGGTAGAAACAAGGTGCCCAGGGAATAGTTTTACAAAGCTGGGCAAAAGTTGGGTGAATGAATTCTAATTATAGAAGCAGTGCTGGTAGCTTGTGTACACCCGCAAATGCATTACTACTGGTGTGCTGGCTTAAGCCTATATGGTTGCTGGGTACTTGTCCAGGGAGGGAGTGTGCTGCTGCATTGGGTCACTCCTTGGGTGTCTATTGCCAGATCAAAACTCATACTTGCTTACCAAAGGGTCCTCCACCCAATTCCAATGTGTTTGTCAGCGAGAGGAGGTTCTCCACACTACCGAACAATTCTAAGGGACCAGCTGGGGATCTTACAATTCATCTCAATTCTGGCACTGTCCACATGGAGACAGCATCAGAGCTCACAGTTTAAGAGCTCTGACCTACAAGACATCCCCCAGCTACTTCAGATGCCAGTCGTAAGTCCAAGTTATCACCTGTTCTTGTGACCAACTGCTATATATTCGAGGTTCCAGTGACTTCCTCCTTGGGTTCAATAAGTTGCTCGAGTGTCTCACAGAAGTCACAGAAACATTTTACTTAACTTGAGTACCAGTTTATTATAAAAAGCTACAACTCAGGAACAGACAGGGGAAGAGAAGATTAGGGCCTCTAAAGCATAGACCCTGATCCTTAGATGTTCCAAAAGTCACTTTATCAACCCATCAAAAGACATTTTGATTGTTCTCATCACAGGAAATTCCAATTATTTTAGGAGCTTTGTGCCAAAAACAAGAGGAAGACCAAATATATATTTCTTATTATAAATCAGAATATCACACTTACTCTCCCATCACCTCTGTCATGAGCAGGTGGGCTTCTGAATGTGAAGAGCTCCTCAGTAGTGGCAGGCCAAGGCATTCTCTTAATGACTTCAAAGCCTATGAGAAATTGCAAATGTATTTGTATCTTTACAATAATGTATTCATATATCATTTAATACAGTGACAGCAATAAAAAAATAGTTGAACATAGCAATGGAAAAACGGTGTGAACAGGTGGTTACTCAAATAAAAAGATATATATATTTTTAAAGATTTTGTTTACTTATTTGACCGAGAGATCACAAGTAGGCGGCAAGGGGGGGGGGGAAGCAGGCTCCCCGCTGAGCAGAGAGCCCGATGTGGGGCTCGATCCCAGGACCCTGAGGTCATGACCTGAGCCGAAGGCAGAGGCTTAACCCACTGAGCCACCCAGGCTCTCCTCCTTTTTAAATGTTTTAATTATTAATTATTTTTATTAACATATAATGTATTATTTGCCCCAGGGGTACAGGTTTGTGAATTGTCAGGCTTACATACTTCACTGCACTCACCATATCACACACCCTCCCCAATGTCCATAACCCAACCACCTTCTCCACACACCCCCTCCCCCCAGCAACCCTCAGTTTGTTTTGTGAGATTAAGAGTCTCTTATGGTTTGTCTCCCTCCCAATCCCATCTTGTTTCATTTTTTCCTTCCCTACCTCCAAGCCCCCCACTCTGCCTCTCAAATTCCTCTTATCAGGAAGATCTATGATAATTTACTTTCTCTGATATCTTATTTTGCTCAGTAATTGAAAGTGGAGAAAACTAAAAATCTAATAAAGAAGACTTTGTCTTTATTTCCAAATAAAACCAATATATTAATAATATACATATCTCTATTTCTGAGTAACAAGTTACTAAAAGGTCTAAGTCAAAGATTGCTGTAAAAGCCCAGAAATAAATCTGAGAATATGAGCATTAATATATGATAAAAAGTATTTTAATCTAGTAGGAGAAAGAGGACTAGTTCAATAGTCAGATTCGGCATAATTTGGTTTATTTCTGAATGAAAACAGAGCTGACATCCTGTATCACACCATATACGATAATGAATTCCAGATGGCTTAAAATGTTAAAATCTGTGTGTCTATACACCCACATATATGAAAAACTGTACACTCTATTCTTTATCCTCTTCCCTCTGAAAGTTTCTATAAGCAGTACCTTCCTAAGGAACAGAAAACACTGGAAATGGTTTGGGAAACCTATTTTATAGAAATGAAATAGAGAGGAATATAAAATAGGGATGTTTATTGAAGCACTACTTTTTTTTTTTTAAAGATTTTATTTATTTAACAGAGAGAGAACACAGCAAGAGAAGGAAAACAAGCAGGGGGAGTGGGAGAGGGAGAAGCAGGCTTCCCCCTGAGCAGGCAGCCTGATGCAGGCCTCGATCCCAGGACCCTGGTCTCATGACTGGGCTGAAGGCAGATGCTTAATGACTGAGCCACCCAGTCACCCTTGAAGCACTACTTTTAAGTGGCAAAGAGGAAACAGTCTGAAATATCAAAGTTGGGGAATAGGCATTGGTATAAGCATACTGGGCATGCAATATAATGTAACCATTCCGAAAACTAAGTTAAGGGTGCCTGGGTAGCTCAGTTGAAGTGTCTGCCTACAGCTCAGGTCATGATCTCAGGATGCTGGGATCAAGCCCAGCATCCAGGTCCCTGCTCAGCAGAGCAGGGAGCCTCCTTCTTCTTCTCCCTCTGCCCCCCGCCCCAACTCATGTTCTCTCTCCCATGCTCTGCTTTCTCTCAAATAAATAAATAATCTTAAAAAGTAAAAATAAGAACTAAGTTAAATCATTATTTACTAACCAGGAAATTCAAAATGTAGTTGAATTTAAAAAGCAAATTACAGAGAAATGTATAAAGTATCCATTTTTTTGGTAAAAATATACTAAAATTGTTGTGTTAATGTTTAAGCATAAATAAATATATGGGTGATATACACAAGGTTTGAACATTATGCAGAAGGAAATGAATTGAGGGGAAAGGAGTGAGAAATAACAAAGGACAGAATTTTTTTCGTTTATTGGTATTGCTTCATTGGTTTGGGTGCAAATGCATTATCTCTGTAATTTTTTTTAAGATTTTTTTTTAAGATTTTGTTTATTTATTTGTCAGAGAGAGAGAGAGAGTGAGCGAACACAGGCAGACAGAGTAGCAGGCAGAGGCAGAGAGAGAAGCAGGCTCCCTGCCGAGCAAGGAGCCCGATGTGGGACACGATCCCAGGACCCTGGGATCATGACCTCAGCCGAAGGCAGCTGCTTAACCAACTGAGCCACCCAGGCGTCCCTCTTTCTGTAATTTTTGATGAAGCACTTAACAAATGACTTAAAATGGGCTCATAAAAGAATACAAAATTTCACCTAGCAGTCCTCATTTTGATAGTAATGCAAAATATTTGAACAAAATATCCTGTTTACTAATTCTCTAATTGGCTTCACTTTTCTTTTTTTGGGGAGACTTTTAAATTTAGAGAGAGTTCATGTGCAAGTGGGGGAGGAGCAGAGGAAGAGAGAGAATCCCAAGCAGACTCCACACTGAGTGTGAAGCCCATTACGGGGCTTGGTCTCACAACCTTGAGATTATGACCTGAGCTGAAATCAAGGGTTGGACGCTCAACTGATGAGCTACCCAGGGATCCCCACTCAACTTTTCTTAAATTGATTATAAAATATTTTATGGGCATATGCCTGTAACAAATAAAATAACTCAATATTAAAAAAAAAAAATCCAAACCCTCTAATATGGGATCTAAGAAAAAAGGAAGTGGGGAATGGAAGGACAGATCTCCCCTATCCCTGGAAATATATATATTTTTATATATTTTATTTACTTATTTGACAGAGAAAGATCACAGCAGGCAGAGAGGCAGGCAGAGAGAGAAGAGGAAGCAGGCTCCCTGCTGAGCAGAGAGCCCGATGTGGGGCTCGATCCCAGGACTCTGAGATCATGACCCAAACCAAAGGCAGCAGTCCAACCCACTGAGCCACCCAGGTGCCCCTCCCTGGAAATATTTTAATCTAAGAAATTCTGTTCACATCTAAGAAATTCTGGGCAAATTATCTTGTTTTGTACCATTTCTCCACTTAAATTTCCTTGGGACCAAGGTGTCTGCACTATTAAAAACTCACTGCTCTAGTCTCCAGAACAAAAGTAATTCATGGGCTGTTTGTGCAGTCCATATAACTCCTTTG